TATATATAATAACATATAATATATATATATATATATATATATATATATATATAAAATTAAAATTGGATACATAATATTAACATATATAGTATAGTAGATAGTAATATACAATAATATAAATATATAATACTAATGATTAACTTAACTTTAAATTGAAATAACTTGTTTATATATCATAAATATATGCATAATAAATTATTGTATAAATAAATATTGTATTATTTTATAAATCCTTAGAGACATAATGTTTACAAGAAATATAGATATACAGTACATATCCATATTTGAAATGCGAATTATAACAAAATATGGTATATTTTTACGGCTAAAGTTTTATATATTTTTTTATGGAAATTTGATATAAATTGATATATAAATTTTTATATATTTTTAGTATCAATTTATTAATAAAGAATAACTTGAAAATCAAATTTTAAATTTTGTATCATTTTGATAACAAAATTTATATAAAAAAATTTGGCAAAAATAGATTTAAAGATATATTTATAGAAATACAAACATATTATAGAAATATATCTAATTTTTATTTTACAAAATGATAGAAGATATTAAAAGATATTATGGAATTAAGTAAAATTAATCAATTAAATATATATTATATACATATAATAGAAATAATAATAATTATAAATTTATTTAAAATATTATTTTCTGTTTAATAAATTTTTTAATATTTCATTAATATGCATTATTTTTGAAAATACTCCTTTACTTCTATTGCGACCTCTATTGGAAAATTATTATACAAAGACTTTTAAATTTTAACGAACTTTTTAAATGTTCAGTATTTTATTCGCTTTAAGAATTGTGTGACTAAAGAATTTAATGTTTTTTAATGTGTCATTGTAATTCTTAATCTACGTATATTGATGCTCTTTCTACAATAATAAAGTTTAAATTGGAAATAAAATAATTTAATTAATTGTAATATACAGTAATGTTTTATAAGTGTGCGAGTTAATTTATATTTTAGATTTTATTTATTCTTTATTTCATATTTTTTAATTAAGTGAATATTTAAATTTTGAATTAACATCATTATGTCTCATTTAAAATATATGAAAGAAATAAATAATTTAACTCGCATGGATGAAACTATTAAGGGACCTCTTCCACGCTGGCAAAAAAAATGTTTAGAAACATCAAATTCCAGGTATTACTATTTTAAAAATAAAATATTAAAAATAAAATAAAATATATATCTCTATATTATATGTATTTATACAGTGTCAACATTAATTCATCGCGAAAAATTTCAAATGGATCATTTGCAAATAGTACTACAGGAAAAACACCAACAAAAAAGAATGATACTCGAACGAAAAAGACACCTTCTAAAACTTCTAAAAAATCTCCAAGTATGAATTATTTTTATAATATAATATAATATTTTTATAATATAATATAATAATTAATACATAGTGATAGAGTTTCTACATATGACTAATATATAGTGATATATATAAAAAAGCTCTACGTAGATTTTAAATACTATCTAATTAGGTCATACTTCTACACCAGCTAAAACACCTAGTGGTGGTGATAGATTTATTCCATCAAGATCAACTACTAATTTTGATCTTGGTTATTATAAGGTACATGTATAATTTTTTAATATAAACTGTATCATTTTAATATAATAATAAAATTCATTAAATATATTTTTTTAATTTTTTCAGATTCAACAACAAACAAATGCAGAAAAAGATGAAGAAAAATTAGACAATGCAAGTCCTTCCAAAAGAGAAATGCAAAGACTTATGGGAGAAAATTTGCATGGTGGTGATATTAATCAAATGAGAGTTTTATCTTATCAAAATAAAGCACCAGCTCCTCCAGAAGGTTATCAAAATCCATTGCGTGTTGTGTATAGTCAAAGTAAAACACCAGCAAGTATAAAAACTTCTACAAGATATATACCACAAAATCCAGATAGAATATTGGATGCTCCAGAAATTGTTGATGATTATTGTAAAAATCTTTGTGCTCAATATTTATTGTTATTGTTATTAAACAATCATAAAAATTTATAAATTTATTTCAGATTTGAATTTGATTGATTGGTCAGAAAGTAATATTTTAGCTGTAGCATTAGGTGCTAATGTATATTTATGGAATGCTGCAACAGGAACTATAGAACAGTTACTTGAATTAAATGGTAATGATTATGTTTGCTCTGTTGCATGGATTCAAGAAGGTCCATATTTAGCTGTAGGCACTACAATAGGAAATACAGAACTATGGGATTGTAGTCAAACAAAAAGAATACGTGTAATGAATGGACATGCAGCTAGAGTCGGTTCTCTTTCTTGGAATTCACATATTTTAACAAGTGGTTGCAGGTAAAAATTTTTATAATATATATTAAAATAAAAATGTTAATACATATATTTTATACAGAGCAGGACAAATAGTGCACCATGATGTTAGACAGAGAGACCATTTAATATCAACAATTAATGCACATGTTCAAGAAGTATGTGGTTTAAAATGGTCACCTGATGGAAAGTATTTAGCAAGTGGTGGTAATGATAATATGCTTCAAATATGGCCATCAGTGTCTGTACAAAGTCATACAAATACACAACCAATTTATTCACTAAATCAACATCAGGCTGCTGTAAAAGCTCTTGCATGGTGTCCATGGCAAAGTAGTATTCTTGCTAGTGGGGGAGGTACTGCTGATAGAACAATTCGATTTTGGAATTGTAACACAGGTAAAGAAAATAATCAAAACAAAATTGTATATACATATATGTTATATATATAATATATATAATAATAAAAATATTAATTTCATGAAAAAATTTTTTTTATTATTTAATATTTATACAATAGGTATATGTTTAAATATGGTAGATACCAAATCACAGGTATGTTCTTTGCTTTGGTCTACAACATATAAAGAAATTGTATCAGGCCATGGATATGCACAAAATCAATTAATAATTTGGAAATATCCTGCAATGACGAAAGTTGCAGAACTTACAGGCCATTCTAGTCGTGTTTTACATTTAGCAATGTCTCCAGATGGTACTACCATTCTTAGTGCAGGAGCTGATGAAACTTTAAGATTATGGAAATGTTTTCAACCTGATCCATATAAAAAGAAAGATACAAATGAAATAAAAACTGTTGCTTCTAGACTTAAACAATCAATTCGATAATGTTCTTATATTAATTTATATTTATTTTTTAATCGAATAATAAATATGACTAATGATTTGTATTTTACTAGACATGGAAACTTATAATACAATTTCCAGTATCATTATTTGTTTATCAATGTATTTAAAATAAATTTGAAATACTTGGTACGTGGAAGTATCGAGCCATTTTTAGTTATAGATATCTCATTTTTATAAAATAATTATATGCATAAATAATATAAATCAACATAATTGACATTTGGACATTTTTTTCTATATATTATAATAAAAACAAAAAGAAATAAATATATAATTAAAATTATTTTTTTTTTTGTATTTAATTTACTTTCGCATTGTATGCAACATTTTAGATAAATGAGAAAAATATATCAAACCTCCCCACCTTTCATATAATGACATTAAAATTTTTAGAGAATTTCTTAACCTAACCTTTGCTTGAAATGATTTGAGTAAACAACAGTTCGTGTTAAAATATATCAGCAATTTAAAATTTAATAATAAGATAAGTATTTTATAATAATTTTTGTTTTAAAAGAAAAGTATATATAATAATAAAAATTATATCATAGAAAAAATTAGTACATAAGTCTTTATAATTGAATTAAAAAAAATGGATGAAGGAAATTCTAAAAATATAATAATAAAATCGCAAAGTAAATATGATCACATTTTTTCTTCAGAAAATGTAAAAGATGATAATGAGCATGACTGGTGGGCAAGTGATAGTGCATCAAGTACTGGATCATATTATTCAGATACAGATAGGTAATTATTATCAATATCTACAGTAATTATTAATTATAGGAAATTAATATTTTAATTCTTTGTGTTATTAAAATATATATTATTATTATATAATTATCAAATTTATATAAATTATTATAGTTCTACAGCAGAATGGGAATCGGAAATTAATTCTAATGGGGAATTGATTTATATAGAATCTGCAATAGATAATGTAAATGATGAACAATTTTCATTCACTGTAACGAAAGTTGACTCTCAACCAGAGTTGATGCGACGTCGTAGTACAAGAGCTGGAAAACTCATGCGATTTATAAAACGAAAAGAAAGTAAACGTCTAAGTACAAGGAATAAAAAAAATAATTTTAATGTCACAGTAAATAATATTGAAAATTCAGGAAAAGATGGAACTACAATTAAGGAAGTTACATTTAGAGATTTTCAAGTAAATAATTTCAATTATAATTTAAATATTTTTAAAATAATAATAATAATAATATATTTTATATAAAAATATGTATATCTAGGCAGGTGAAACGCGAGAAGTTATATTATGGGTTGATCCTGATAGACGACATAAATTAGGAAGGAGAGCTACATTATGTGAAGCATATTTTGGAATTATTCCAAGTGTTTTTTCTGATAAAACACGTATTATGGTTGCTGGATTTATACCAGATGGAGAAGCAATAAAGAATAAAAATATTAAAATTGGAGATTGGCTACGAAGTATAAATTCAAATAATGTTACATATCAAAATTTAGATAATATATTATCTGAAATAACAGTTTCAACAAATGTAAGAATTAAAATTTAGAAAATATTAAATTAATTTATATTTTATGAAAATTATAAAATATTTTATTATATAACCAATTTTTATTCTTTATTCAGGTAACATTAGAATTACAAAGAATTGCAGGTATTGATGTTACAGCAACATTATCTGAATTAAATTGTCCTAAAGTAATTATAATTATATATATATATATATTTAATTATATACATAATATAAATATAATTTAAATAAAATTTGAAATTAATAATAATATATATTTTTATCATTAGCAATCTGTATTAGTACAAAGATTAATGAATAAAGAGGAAAGTAAAGATTTAATGCAATCAATAATAAATTACCCACTTGGCGTATTATATCTACAAACCACTGAACTATCAGAAGTAGGACCAGAATTACAAGGTGTATTATATACATTTCCTCGATCAGAAAATAAAAATATGCATTCTATATTATGTACAGCAAGAGGAGCTTTTATAACTCTCAATCATTTATTACCAGAAATTGGTGGTCTACGACCTACTAGGTATAATTAAAATTTTATAATACTTTTTATAAATACATAATTTTTATAACATGTATGCAATCACATTTTATAGTACAACTTTTATAGTACTACAATGCAGGTAGCAGAAGAAGAAATTCATGTTGTATATACACCTCGAAATGATGAGCTACTTTTATTGGCATTTCCAAAAAAATGGTAAATTAATTGAATAATATTTATATAATATTATAATAATAAATAAATATTAATATGTATATATTTTAAATTCTCAGTTGCAGTCTTGAAGAAGCTATTAATTTATCAAATGATATAGTAAAAACTTTAGAATTTGGATATCAGTCATTGACAAAATGTTTTACATCTAAGGAAAATCAATCTTCTTTAGACCATTTTTTTATTTTAATTATTCAACGATTATTAGATATAAAAAGTTATGCAAAAAATTTAGAATTAACTAATTCTTGTATGGAAATTCATAATAATATTGAAAATATAGAAAGTTATAAATTTAGAAGCACTTTTTCAGTTGCAAATTTTATAGAATTATCAAGAGATGCACAAATTCAAATTGATGCTGCTTTAAGTGAAATGGAAGCTATGGATTATAGAGATTGGGTATGTTTTGTATAATAAAAAATAATGGAAGAAAATGATGTAATTACAATATTTTTTTTTTAGAATGAAGATCCTATGGACTGTCAAAGATTATATACAATTTTAGGTAGTTGTGTTTATCACAAACATTATCTTCTTGGATCTCATTTAATTCATAATGATTTGATTGAGATAGAATCTTATCTTAGACAAAACTGTATTTTAAATTTGATAAATAATGAACCCGTAAAGAGTCTTGTTATTTGGAAAAGAGTATATCCTTCTTCGTATAATCATAAAAATATAGAAAATAATAAAAATAACCAACCACTTATTCCTAATGGAAAATGGTATTTACTTATTGTTGGATATGGACATGATTTATTAGCAGTTCTTTTAGAATCTGGTGGATGTACTGCAAAGTTAGTTTTTATAATTTTTATTATGTTTTTGATGAATTTGATTTTATTATTTGATTTTTTTATTTTATTATTTTAATATTTTATTATTGATTTTACTATAATTATATATATATATATATATATTTTTTTTTTTTTTAACTTGTTTGTATATATTATTGAATATAGATGTAGTGAAATTATTGGTCCAGATATATTTTATGTAGAAGAAGCTCAAGAAACATTAAAACATATACAAAAAATAGGAGTAACAACATTAGCAGCTAAATGGATTGCATCTAATACAAGACCAGAAATAATAACTTATGAAGATGTACCTATAAAATCATCTAGTATTACAGAAAATCTCCTAGGTTTCATAAAATCAACAGATGTACAAAGTGTATCTATTAAACCATCTCATGCTACAAGTAGTAATAAGAGATCTCAAGAAATACCTTCAATTTTAAAAAAACGTAATATAGAAGAATTTCCTGTAGTTTTAGGATCAGGTAAGTGAAACTATTTATTTTGTTATTTTATGTTAAATATGATATGATTTAAAAAAACAACTTTCTTATTTTAGTATATTCTTTGCATACATCAGAAGATTCATTAAGTCAAGGAACTGGTGGAGTTAGTGAAATAAGTGATGAAGCAATGCCTATATTAGGAAGACGAGCAACAAGAGAAAAAATCGTTAGTAAATCAAGATATTCGGATGATAGCGATTCCGATATTGATGTATATAAGGTAATTAATACAGTGAATATATTAAATTATTTATGTTATTTCATATTTTATTTTTTTATATAATTTTCACAAAGTTTACTTTATTATTATAGAATAACTGTCAAATGTTAAATTTGGATATATCTAATATAAGAGAAAATTTATTAAGTCAAGCTGAATATTTAGTACCGAAAATTTTGACAGTGGGTGATAAAAATTATTTATATCATTATGTACATTTAGACATGGTTGAAGGAATTCTTGTATCTTCAAAACCACTAGAACATTTAGGAAAAAATCCTAATTTTCTTATTAATTTTAATAAATGTGTTCATATTATCCACAGATTATTACATAATACAGTAAGATTTAAAGCAATGATAAATTCAGATGCTGATAAAACTGTGATTAATAAGAGTTTAATTGCTGTTAAAGAACATGGCGTGTTATTTGAATGGGAAAATTTAACTTATTGGGTTGTTGGTCGATTATTTACAACTCCCCATCCAAAGGAGTTATATGTATGTTATCAAGATTCTGCACCACAAAATTTAATTGAAATAGCATTTAAATTACATTCATTACACACATTAATATAAATTTTAATTTTTTTGATCATATAGTTTTTAAAAGTCAAATATTTACTATGTAAAAAATTATGTTAAATTAAAGATATTGTTAATATAAAATATTTGAAAAAGAAACAAATTTTTAAATTGTAATTTTTATATAATAATTTAATAAATACTCTCAATATTAAAATATATGAATATTATATATTGTACTTTAAATAATATATTCAAAATATTTTTTACTTGTATGAATATTATTCATATTTTTAATAAAAATATAGCTTATTTTTTTTTAGAAATACGTTTTGTATTATAATTTTTGGATAACATATTAATTTCTTTACTGTTGCGAAATTGAACTATGGGAATTTTTACATATACACAGGCACCTGCCATTTTGCTGCCATAATGTCCTGCCCAAAATAATTTATCAGTACCGCCATGACAAAAACAAATTCTTCTAAGTCCAGGTCCATAGTTCTTAAATTCATGTAATATCTAAAATAAAATATAATTAAATTGTAACATAATTTTATTATTCTTAAAAATTTGATTATTTAGAAATATTTTATCTATATATATATGTAACATACCTGATGCCATTCATTTTGTTTTTCTTCTTCAATACTATCATGGAATTCAAAGGAATCAATGATTTTATTATCTTCTCCTAATAATTTGATTTTACATTCATAGATAGCTGGACAATCCCAACGACAACTATACCATTCACTTACCTATATATATATAGATATAATATTATAAATATAGTAATATAATAATATAATAATATAGTAATATAATAATATAATAATATAATTATATAATAATCAAAATATTTTTTTAAAAAATTTTATAAGAAAATATAGATTTTGTAATACCACTATTAAAGGTTGTAAATTGTCTAAGACATATGATGTCAATCCTTCAATTTCTAGATCAATTACTTGTGCTTTAGTGCATCTTCTATAAGAAGTAACAAAACAGAATTGATTTCCTTTAAAAATAGCTTCATTATTTGGTAAAGGTGAAACTCCTATTGGAGGATTTTCTACTTTCCAACGATCACCACCTTCATCAAGAATTTTCCATTTTTGCGTTCCGTATTCTCCAGAATGATTTTTTATCAAATTCCTTTCAAAAGGTTTCTTTTTACACATAAGATAATATGTATGCCAAGGAACCTCCTTATCAAAAAGGAGTGATCGACCAAAAATAATTTCAGCTTTTTTACGCCAAACATAAGTTTGAATTAAATTTTTCCAAAGTTTACACACCAATTGACAGTTTAATAAAGAGTTATAATCTACATAGCAAAAAATTTCTGCTAATAATTCTTCTGGTAAGTATTTGCCACCAACAATTAATCCGTTTTCGCTTTTTTCATCAAACATTACGCGAGTAGTCATGTGTCTATTACTGTCAAGAAACTGACCCATTTTTATTTACAAATAATTGTTTTGATAAATAATACACAAATTATTAATATTATTTTTTAAATGAAATATTTTCTACTTATTATTTGTAGTTTCGATGTTTAAAATATTTTAGATTTAATAGTGTAAATAGAAATTTTTAATAAAATTTTATAATGTTTTTCAAATATTAACTATCTAACCTTCTTTACAGTTCTTAAAATACATATAATAATTTTTTGTGATGTTTTATTATTATATGCATTTATCTCTATTTTTTTAATCAAAACAAAATAAAAAATTAAAATTCACAAGTCACTTAAAAAGTGACTCATAAATGAATCAATAAATTACATGCGTAATCGTTTAGAATTTTATAAAATTTTGATATTATTATTTAACTTATTATTAATTGAAATAAAAATTTACAAAATAGCTTATGTACATATATATAGTTTATATTTAATAATGTTATATTATACATAAGCTTATATAGCTAAATATAATTATTTATAATTATAATTATTGAAATCTTGTAATTTAATAATTTATATATAAAAATATAAATATATAAGTTATATAAAAATATAAGGTAGAATAAAAAATTGGGTAAATAAAAATTGCATAATACAATAAATGTTTTTTTATTTCATTTAGAATAATATATTTGATGTCAATATGTAAATCATTTAAATCTGAAAAATATTTAAAGGAATAGGTACGTGGTTTTCTAACACTGAAAAGTGGCATACGATTCCTATGATGAATACGTTTTGGTAATGGGAATCTGATTTTTGAATCATGGAATTGCTTCACTTGTGGTCTTCTACAATTTGCAGCTTTCACAACTTCAACTTTAATAATTTGAATGGAATGAGCACGAGCACGATGACGAGCTCCCATATCTCTATAACATTGTGTTACAGCACCACTTACAGAAAGATCTCTATATTCTCTATACATATTATGAGTTCCAGATCTAGAGTCATATCTTAACCAAATTCCAAAATTCTTGATTTTAACTGGAGATTTTTCTGGTATCTAAAAGATAATATATATTTCATAGAAATTTATACTTTAATATTTAATGAATTTTTCTTAATAAATTAAGATTTTATATAACAATTACCTGTTTCAATGAAACAATTTCTCCTGTAGATTTTTTAAATTTTTTAAGTTGCCGCAAAAAATACCAAAATCTAGATTTTGCGACAATGGCATCAGGTGCAAATATTCTCATTTTATATAATGGTGTAGTTTTTTCTTTTTCGGTCGGTAATTTACGACCGATTACTTCAAATTCCTTCAACTATAAAAAAGATTTGATTAGTTTTTAATTTAAAATAATTTTTTTAATATTTCTACATTTATTTTTATTTTCTCAACATTTTATTTTTGTTTTAAGTTTCGTTAAATATATTAAATTTAAAATAAATGTATATAATAAAATTTAACATATTAAAATTATTAAAATTTTTCTTTCTTAACTCATATTATTCATAAAGATGAAAATAAATTTTATTATAAATTATTATATTTTATATTTACAAGTATAAAAATTGACAAAACTATATATCATGTGAACATGTGTTAGCAACAATGTCATGTTAGGTTAAGTCATTATTAATGTGAAATTTTAAATTAACTTTTACAAATATTAAATATTATAATATATAAAGTATAGTAATTATAGAATATTTTTTTAATTGGTGAATTTGCTATTCTTAAAATATACTTTTTAAATATAATTTGAAATATTTCCTTACTTCGCCTTTTGCCTTCATTTTGTCGTTCGTACAATATAACGATAAACCGGAAAAAGATCACAGTATTTTCGGCCAGCTCGGAAACGAAATCATTTAACTTCTAGTAAGATATTATAGTTTAACCATAGACAAAATATAACATAGACTTAACTGCTAATAAAATTTTACATTATTTGTAACATAAATAAAATAATTTTAGATTATAAGATTAGATTATAATAAAGTGATATAAAAGTATAAATCACTTTTCAATTCCTAATTATAAAATGAATTATTCGAAATAACAAAAATGATCAATAGTTTTATCATTATTATAAAGTGAGAATAATATATTTCATTTAATAAGAATTATATATTATATTGTATTAATATATGTAAAGATTTATGACAGAAAATTTTATGTTCTTTATATATAAACAATATCTTTATGTATTTAAAATCTTTAAATATTCTTGTTGACAGTATCTTTAATAAAGACTTATATAACGAAGAATAAGATCTATATATATATATATATATATATG